TGCTGTATTTAACAAATAAAAAAAGTATTTTCTATTACACGTTACTGGTGAATTCTCGCACAGATAAAACTGTCTTGATCAACATAAGGAAAAGCCAGCTCACACGCGCTAATATATTCTGAAAACGTCACCATATGGCGTCATCTCTTTATGCAGAGTAACGTCATACAGTTTGTCACACATGTCATGCACCCTTGACGATGGCGCGGTACACTGGGTTAACCATTACAACTGATTTTGAAAGTAGGAAAATGTGGGAGAATGTATACAGAAAACTCAATCGTGTGGATAATATATATACTACTCACATTTTGCTAAGGATCTCTCTCTCTCTCTCTCTTAACAGAACAATCAATTGTTCAGAAAATAATCTCAGTATAAACCAAATAAAATATTTATTTTCATATATGCCAAAAATAAAAGTGATCCTTAGCAAAATGTGAGTAGTATACCATATATTGGAAGTAAGCACTCGGCTTAACTTCGAAAATCTATTAGGGCCTTAACGGTCACATGAGTTCTGATATATTTATACAGAGAGTTGATTTAAAACCCGAACAGAAACATTATTCAAAGTGACAAAATACCCCAATAAAACCACCTTATTCAATATCTAGCATACAGATTTAAGACTGAAAAGTATTTGAAACTAGCACCTCTGATTCTAAACAAGAAAAATGAAGAAATTTTAGCACACTGACTCCTTTGGACCCCGCCCTACAGCCCTTAGGGGTAGGGCTGGCTCAAAATGTTTTCAAAGTGTTTTGGTAGAGCACCTTAAAACCCTTCCATCTATGAAGAGTATTTGATTTTACCATATCTTGGACATGAGAAGAAGATTTTGAAATTTCAGTCAATTTGGCCAGTTTTGGCCCCATCAGCCCCTGGGGTTCAGTCAGGGCTGATTTGTGCATACCATCAAACTGCTATCCAATAAGATATTGCTAACCCAAATTGAATTACTTCCAATGGAATTTAAACAAATGTTGTTCCAAAAGGTGATTTCCCTACATAGACTATAGTAAAGTTTACCCGCTTCCCAGGGGGAAACGTGAGACCCCAGGGTCATGAAATTCACAATTTTGGTAAAACACTATAGACCCTACCACCTATGAAGAGTATTTGATTCTACCATATCTGGGTCTTGAAAGGAAGATTTTTTAATTGTAATTAGACCCTTTTTGGCCACAGCCATCAGTCCCTGGGGGTCAGTGAGGGCTGATATGTGCATACCATCAAACTGATAATGCTAATCTAAATTGAATGACTTCCAATGGAAATTAAAAAGATGTTGGTCAAAAATGTGATTTCCCTTTATAAACTATAGAAAAACGTGATACCCCAGGGTCATGAAATTCACAATTTTGGTAAAGCACCTTAAGACCTTTCCATCTATGAAGAGTATTTGATCCTACCCTATCTGGATCTTGAGAAGAAGATTTTTGAACTTTTAGTCAATTTGACCCTTGAGACTTTGTCTCAGGTGACCTAAAATCTATTACCTGTGACTGATCGAGATGGGGTTATATAAGTCGAGGGCTAAGATTCTGTAACATAATCCAAACCGAGGCGTAAGCCGAGGTTGGAATGTTACAGAATGGGGTATGACATGTGATAACTCTGTCAGAGATACGAAAATTATCGGTCTACATCACACATGAGTAACATATTATATTACACCATCACTGCGTGGTTTAACAGGAGATAACCACATTGCAAATAACATTTACATTGAACGCAATGCTTCGAGTGATTAAAACCACTAATGGAATATGTTTGATGTCAACGTGTATTCCCTTGTGAGTGTCTGGCTAATATACAAGTCTGTAATGGTTCCACTTCAGAATATTAATATAAAAGGTTTTCTGTTTGTTTGTTTTTTTACAACAAAGCATTATTTTAGTTCAATAAGTAGTAACCGTCATTGTAACAGTTATACTAAAGGAAGAGAGACAATGCTAAGTATTCTTTAAGTACAAAATGTCTAACATGCCTTGATGTACTGATGGCTGCACTTACAATGTCATGGTAAGAAACTTTTGATCGGATACATGGGCATAACACCAAGATATCTGATGAAGCTGATACCAGTAATGAAATAATTGAAAAGGACATTATATCTATATAATAAGAAAATAAGATACCTACATGTAAAATATAGCAGCTCTGATCAATTGGTCAAAACAACACTAACAGTTACACATATGTATTTCATATTGCATAATTGGATATATTTGATGTAATAATTTTACAAAGGTTAAAACGATTATGAAAAAACCGTAAATGAAAATTATAAATGGATTGAAATCAAGGTTTACATGTGATCACAACGTATTCGATGTCACACAGTAACCACTAACCAATCATTTCTTCTGTCTGTCGCTATCCAGTTTTGTCAGCGCTATACCTATATGTCCTGTAGTTTTGTGTTGCCAAGTTGTTACATAATGGCGAAGTGTCATTTTAAGAACGTCTTTATCTATCACATCCTCTGGAGACCCCATCGTCACAGAATGATTTGGCGTCTTGACATCTAATAATTATAGCGTTACTTTCAATCAAGCCGGTTTTATAAGAAAAAAATATCAGAGATGAACTTGTTATTATGAAAATTTACACAAACATAATTTTAGAAGTGTTTTTATCTACTTTTGTATCTTTTTAAGAAAAATCAGATTATTTTGAAGCACAGCCAAACAAATTTAAGCAGCGATTACTACTAAGCAAGCAGATGAATTACATGTTGGAAACCCCTTATAATCTACTATGCATCTTCACCGTATTTTCCATCCAGTGGAAAAAGATGGTTTTAGTTTCATTTTGGTATTTCGTAATTCAAAAGCCCATATGTATGCGGTAATGTATTAGATTTCAATTTTAAAGGTAGAATAGCTTAGGACTTTTTATCGTTAGGCTTTGATTTAATTTTTGTCCAATTTTTGTTTCTTACTCGTTTTGGAGGCGCTTTAGGAACAAACGGCGGTCCATCCATCATCATATCATTTTTTGCGAGGACTTCACAACCGAACAATAAATAAATAAAGCGTAATTAAAGTGTGTGTGGTATTTTGTTTTATTTACATTGATGTAATTGTTCTTTATATACAATGCTATAATTTCTGTAAAATGTACACATGATTATCCTGGATTGATCTCCAGTTGCTTCCCAATATCTCGAACAGAATAATAATTGCGGACAAAACGACGTCGAGGACGGAATGATTGATGACGTCACGTTAACATAACGTAAAATGGCGCTAAATTATTCTAAACATATTTTTGTTCCAATTTGTCGATTTTGGATACAACGGTGATACAAATTCTTGTGTAACCGACGTGGCGAATATAATGATGCATGGAATGAAAACTAATATTTAGATACAATAATATTTACAATAATCGTTTAATATCACTTTAGATGTACAGCTAATCTTCTCAATACTTCACTTACTGAAGAACTTTTTGACTGGTGATTTAATTTACAAAATATACAAAAAACTGCAAAAATAAATGGATGAAAAATCCTTGACGTGAACAATTATATATTGAACAAAGATTGTGCATGTGATTATTCCCAACCATGACTGTAGTGCTTGAACATCATCACAAAATTGTACTGCTCCATAGTTTCGCATTCCCCAGACTCTCCTCCTCTCTCAAGACTGCCTCGAAACACGAGTGGAGATAAGCGTCTGGTTGATCGAGACTAACTTCTCCACAATTGCATGCTTAGCCTGACAGATTACTGTTGACATCTGAGCAGTGGGTTCCAACAAATGTTTTCATGTCGTTCGTTTTGTTTCATTCGATTTTACCAATTAACCAATAAATCAGTCAAACGCTTAGCATCATTTTTTGAGTAAGTTTTAAAAATACGTACAAAACATTTCAGGAAAGAGATTTAAATTGCTTACATCATAAATTGCTTTATCACGTTGTATTTACGTCAAATATATTCGTATTTCAACGTGGAAATGCAGTGATTAAATACATAAATCAACAAACGGAAGTTGAGTATATTGTGAAAATTGAAAAGATAGTTCAGTTTGGTACACAGATACAATTAATTCATAACTGTGACGTCATAACAGTAAAAGCAATTAATCGCTACGTTCATACGTGCGTGATTGTAAATACTTTGTATGCCTGCCTTTACAGAAAGAAAAAGACTTAAATTTAACATGAGGATAAATTAGAGAAATAATTCCATTCGCACAAAATGAAACGAGTTCAATTGTTTCACAACGAACTTGGTGTGTTAACGAGTTCTAAATAGGATATGATGCATTAAATATTGACTTTGCGCCACTCTTTGTATCTAATTTTTGAAAATAAAGTTACTTTTGTCGATTTTTTTATATAGTGATTATTTGTTGGGCATATTGCATTTAATGCTTCAGGATCTCAGCTAATATAAATGAACACTATCGTGATATTCTAGGGCTGATATTTAATAAGTTCAATGTTAACTTATGCAATTATTCACTTCATCCACTATTCACTAAATTCTCCTAGTTTTACACCAAACAGTCTTCTTTCTTACGTTTGAATATGTCTCACTATTTCAGGGTTTTGACCGGTGCCTATTGTCCATTTCATTGTATAAGGTCAGCTGCACAATTACAATGAAAGCTCAAATGTAGCGGTCAGACGAGAGCTCTTCATTTGGAGACGTACTGGATTTCGCGGGAGCGCTAGTTCTCCGCCTCCTGTTCCGGACGAAGCGAAGGATACAGAGCGCTGTCTGTCCAATACACAGTAGCAAGCAAATCCATGTCGCTGCCTGAAAAAAAAAACTTTCGGTTAGCAATCGGAGGTAACTTTTGAATAACTACGAGTACTAGTAGTCTTTTTGATTGCTTTTAGTATGAACTGCGTCATCTCGACATGAACTGTGTAATTAATTCAGCTGTAAATTGTAACCATTCATTGCAAATGTAGATATTGAACAATTGACTTGTATGAAAGGGAAATAAAGAGAGTTGTACATGTTTAGAAGATCATATCAAGTTAAATATTTTGAAATATTCAAACATATCGCACGTCATTAGAACTCGTTCATGCCACATTAAAATTACACTGGACCCCATTTAATGGTCTTATGCGAGTGCCATTCAATCAATTCTGTCACCACACAGGTCCCGCACGAGCGGGCATTAAGATAGTTTAGCACATTGACAGACGGCAAAAGCATTCAAAGAAGAATGCCCTTGCAAACTTTCGAAGTTATCCGATAAGAATTGAACAAGTTATTCATTGTTGAATGGTATGCACTCGTGACATGTGGCTACTTTCCAAACATTAAATGACGGTTTAGACAAATCTGAAATACGCTCTTATATCTTTTTAGGCGGGTGAACAAATTCAAGAAAGGCAAAGTTGACATCAATATGGACACAGGGCGACGCAGGCAAGTTGTTGCAGCATCAAAGTGGACGCACGGCTAGGCAGACCAGTTGTTGCAGCATCAAAGTGGACGCACGTTTAGGCAGACCAGTTGTTGCAGCATCAAAGAAGAACATTGCTGCTGTGAAAGCAATAGCTAAGGACGATGGTCGTAATACTGTTTCTGAGATAGCTCATGGTTGGCATTTCAGAAGGCAGTACACTTCACATTCTGACCTAGTGCTTGAAAAAAACAAAGCACCAAAAAAGCTTTGTATGCCATTTTTTCCAATTCTAGTGGCCCTGTGGTTCAGATACCATGCAAGGACCGGAATATTGTCACTACCATCTTTCATAAAGACATGTCAAAAGATTCTACATGAAAAAGCGTCCATGTAAACGATTGAATGGCATCCAGCTAATTTATGACAATGCTTCATCCAACAGTAATATCGTACAGGCATTTTTGAAGCAAGAGAAGGTAGTACCCACCCTATTCACCAGATAAAGATCCCTGTTTAAACGAAAGAAAGTGCTCTCTGGGAAACGGCATGCCTAGGAGTGCTCTGGGTAGTGCAATCTTCCATTGTCTTTCCAGTATACCAAGGGGAGACTACCACGCAGCGTTTACGTCATGGATAGCGCGATTGCAAAAGTGCGTTTCTGCTAAGGGAGGATACTTCCAATAGCTATATACACCAAACATGTGATTCCTGATTCCTGATACTAGTGACAGAATTTATTGAATGGCCCTCGTATTATTTGAAAATACGATTTCATTACTCAGTATTTGACAGTAAGAGCTTTATACTCAAAATCAAAATAATTTCGAGGAAATAAAACGAATGTGAAAATACCGAATATTGGCAGCTATGCAAAAAACAGAATCACACCACAATCTATTTTTGACTGTGACCACCCTTACTTATGGACACGAGAGGCGGGCAGACTATTCTAATCTCTTTTGTTTTAGAATATTTTATTGTACATATATAAGTACAATCGGAATTGGACAACAGGCATTGCCTATACAAACCCTCTCCTTACAATATTGAACAGTACATACAAATCATGTTTATAGTACATATAAATCAACGAAATGTTTTTAACATTTAACTGTGACATTGTGAGATGTAGATTACCAGTTTGGGCAATATATTTATAAATTACTGCCATCGTTAAAAGAGGAATATCGTATTATAAGTATAACCGTCGGACACGGACTGGATACCACAATATTTACATTCATGGTTGGAAACCAAGAGGACAAGTTTGAGTATTAAGCGAAATATTGTCTCTTAGTGCAAAGAGGAAGTCGAGGAAGAGTTGTCTTTGGTTAATATAAAGAACACAGATGAGGAAAAATTATCACATTCATCAATAGGGGAACCACGTTTGCAGCGGGGCTATCTTTTAGATGGGAATTAAACAAATCTGAGTTCGAGATACTGGCATTTTTTTCTTAACCGAACTTACTTCAGCCGAAGACAACCGGTCGTGGAAGCGTCCGACATTAAACTTCCCTTTTGTGAAGGTATTCGTCCATTGGTTGTCCTGTCCATCAACGCATCTACAACATTCAAATCTAGTTTGTTCAAATTCAGTTCATATCCTGACTAACGAGTTTACAATGACGTATTCGATTCAGATGAAATGGCTTGAGTTAAAATGCTGAAACACCATCTGACTCAAAGACTATAAAAGAAGACTATTCTTTTTTAAACCCTACTTAAAATACAGAAACACTGCATTATGTTTGACAAACTTTCCGAGGACTTCACCATAATTATTTAGGATGCGATTATCCCCATATTTAATAACTTATTACTTTTAATGCTGGGAATTTTATCGTCTGGTTACCTCTAGCCCTGAGCAATGGGCTGAGCCGTATTGTAACCTTTTAGTGGCCAAACCAGCTTAATTGGACTTGGTTAATGTTTTCGAGCAAGCATTAGGTTAAAGTTTTGGAGCAAGGTGTTCGTGCATGTTAAAATGTGTAATTCAATACTACATGTATAATAGCACCAGCATATATTAACAACTTGTTGTGGAACATTTTATGATGCCGAACAACTGGAAACAATTATAATATGACTGGTGCTTATTCCTAGCCCTGATTGGAGGAGCGACGTCATGTGACGAGTGTGTAAATATGTTACAGACCTCGTTCTATGAATAGAAAAGTGTTACAAACCTCGACCCATAAATAGGCCTAGGTAATTTCCTAGCCAGTCTGTAATTCTGTTACCAATCACACTACTGAATTCAACTACAAATGAAGTTTCTCATCAAACTCTGAACTATGTGAATATTGATGATGTCGATTGTGCAAATAATATTTATTTAAAATTAAATATCACATGAACTGAATCTGAAATTCAATTTTTGTGTATAATATTTTGTATTTGAAGTCCTTCCCTCTGTGATTCCAAAATGGTCCATGCCATCCATGTGTTTGTGACTTGAAAAATCAGTCTTCGGCCTCTGTGAATATTGTTCTAACCAGGTCTGTAAATCAGGGATAGACCTCACCTGAAGTCCATAATTGTATAATGTTGTTCTCCAACAGCTTAAGTTCTGATAGTGTCGTCTTCCACTCCAAGACACCCTATCATTTGTAAACGTGTATCGTAATCAGTTAATGGTTTTAATTAACGCAGTCTCTTCCCCATCATTCTCTAACTATTTGGTTGTACTGAATTAACTTTGTCCTCAAATCGTTATACTAGAATTAGGAAACGACTTTCAGAACATTATATTGTTCATTTCTTCAATACAGGAGGAATTGTAAAACAGGCAAAACATATGAATGTTCAAGCCATCTCGAATAAAGTCATATTTCAATTTCTGTTTCAATATTAGTTTAGATTTCCAACTTTTTGACTCCTGACATCACCGATGAGTCCTGTGAGGACGAAACTGCTGTTTGATGCAGTGTCATTACATTTTGTATAATGTTTTTGTTAAATTCTAAAGGAGCAGTTACCTGTGTATTTCTTACGTTCATCTTTGTTGCTCTTTGGGTTATGAAAATCATATAACCGAAACCTTTCTTGTTTATCTATTCTTTCATTCCTTTTTTGTGGTGGATGTGGTGTGATGTTAACGTTGGTGATAGTGGCGTGTAAGGGGAAAATACAGAAAAATACAGCTTACTTTTTTATGTATCCTTTTGATGTGATCTTGCTGCAGAAGTTGGAGAATCCGACACTGATGAGGCAGGAAGAGATGAGAACGAGAGCGGCAAGAAGTGAGTTTGTCAACACGAACGGCATCACCCACATCTGGGATCTGTTGGAGTTAAAACATGATACTATTATCGTAAAAGAAATACTAATCCGAAGGATAATCATCGTCACTACGCAGGAAGTACTTAAAGGTCACTACATACGAGCAATGAATCATTGCAATCGATATACACGAAGTCCTGTATCAGATTTTGTTAGAGAACATTATTTTAAAATATGAGATTCAGTATTATACATTATTACTATATATAAATTTATCGCTTTCAGAAATTAAAATTTCGATTTATATCTATGCACACGCTTTTTGCAAATAAGATGAATTTTCAAATATTATTATTTTAATTTATACATGTGATTTTGACTAAACGACCAAAATTCAGACACAAAACTCGTTATCCAAAGTTTGAACATAGAGATTTAACTCATTCACCCCAGAAGACACATTTAAACTCTTCAACTTAAAAGGTTGTAATAGTTCATTATGAAATTTCCGGGGTGAATGAGGTTTTGCTATTCACCTACTTACGCTATAGAAGTGTCGATCCGAGACTTATTGAGAGCATATGAACTGTAGATGCCGACACCGACACAGTAGAATATACAGCCAAACACATTGATCCAGATGGGCAACTGGCAGTTCGCCTTGGCACTGGATGTCATCACAAACGCAGTCGCGTTTTTCCAGTCAAAGTGTCCATACAAAATACAAGATCCTTCAAATTTTATCTGAAAATGATAAGAGATGGACAAACTCTAGCATTTTCCATATTTGTTTGATGGATTTTTAAAAGATGTAACGCCCTGTTTTTGGCATGGAGTTTCTACTGGTGCTGTTTATGGAAATATCAGGACAAAGTTGATACTGTAAAATAACCGTATCGTCTAAATATCCACTTTAAACACTTAAATGTATTACATCTTGAGTAAGGGCATAGCTCTTAATTTTTCCCGAGAAAAGTGTAATGTTTATATATAGAGTTGTAATCTAATCAGTGTAAACAAATACAAACTGCTGAGGTAACCGGAATGTATGGCAATCATAACAAAAGTGCTGAGGGGCATGAGTATCACGCGGGATGGCAGGAGACGGCGGGTGTGTGTGTGCGTGTGTGTGTGTGTGTGTGGGGGGGTTCGTAGACAGTTATNGAGTGGGGTATGTGGTAGCGTGCCAGTGAGTTTGAGGTATGGGTAAACGGATAGAGACCAAGTGTTGGAGGGTGGGGTATTGGTTACCGTACGTAGTGGGGCTTGGGTTTGAGGTGCAGCACTTCATCACTTTTAATATATTCCAACTTATATAACTGATGTGATGACTAAACAACCATTAAGATTTCATTTTATGTTTTCAAAAAATAAAAATCCAAATGATGAAGAACTTACTGTTGTAACTCCCACAGAAATGGAGACGATGAGGCCACAGATGGTAGTAGCGAAGTACACACACGTCTGGAGGAGAAGTTGGAGGTCCACAAACGCCATGTTGAGATTTAAGACTAATGATACGATATCTGTGACTTTGTATGATACCCACGCGTAAATATTTGTCTCAGTAATTGTATTTTCTAATCTCGATGATAACAACTGCTGATAACAACAACAACTACATTATGTGAACTTCGTGTAGTATTCATATAAAGTATCACTAATATCTCCCCTCCTCGGTTAATTAAGAAAATCAAGCACGGTCCGATAAAATCCGTCAGTATTTCTTAAAGATTATACTAATTAGATTAATTAGAAGATATAGGAGATAAATAATTACACTGGGTAAGTCCTTCATATCACCGCAAAGTCACTATAGAGTAACAACAAACACATATATACACGCCCCCTATCACGTGGGTATACATCCATCTCGTGCCAAAACTTGTTAGAGTGTAGAGTCGGCAGAAGCTTGAATCGACTGGCCCCTCAACCTTTAGATATTTCGGACTTGAGCAAGGCTCTAACAGGCTATAGTGAATATTGAATGTAAAGTTACCAACTTAATTATTCAAGCATCTGGGATATTCATGATTATACTATTTATTTATAAAAATTGTGATTAACAACCATTTTTTTGGTTGTTATATAAATACGTACTCAAAGTCTTAATTTGTTTGGTGTCCTAATAGACAACCTCTGTTTGTATTAGCGAGAAAATCTGTATTTTTTTTATGTGATTGTAACCTTGCAATGTTATTAAGTTTCACTCTCAAATATATACCGACGTGTTTTCTTTGTAATAACACGACTGTATTCACCACCTCGATCGTTGAACCCTTCTGGACTTGAAGTCAAGGACACTGCAGACCCGTACGTCTACTTCAGCTGCTTTCCTCGAGCTAAAACATGACCAACATGGACAGCTTACTACAAAGATGAACGTGAAGATTTCCATTCTCTGGTCGAAAATTTTTCTTTCTTGACACTAACATCCCCGCATACCGACCTTTCTCGACACTAACATCCGCGCTTACCGACTTTCTTTACACTAACATCCGCGCTTACCGACCTTTCTTGACACCAACATCCCCTCATACCAACCTTTCTCGACACTAAGTAACATCCGCACTTACCGACCTTTCTTGACGCTAACATCCTCGCTTACCGACCTTTCTTGAATCTAACCTCCCCGCTTACCGACCTTTCTTGACACTAACGTCCCCGCTTACCGACCTTTATTGACACTAACATCCGCGCTAACCGACCTTTCCTGACAATAACATCCGTGCTTACGGACCTTTCTTGACACCAACACCCCCTCATACCAACCTTTCTCGACACTAAGTAACATCCGCGCTTACGGCCCTTTCTGGACACTGTCATCCGCGCTTACCGGACTTTCTTGACGCTAACATCCTCGCTTACCGACCTTTCTGGACACTAACATCCGCGCTTCCCGACCTTTATTGACACTAACATCCCCGCTTACCGACCTTTCTTGACACTAACATCCGCGCTTACGGACCTTTCTGGACACTGACATCCGCGCTTACCGACCTTTCTTGACACTAACATCCCCGCTTACCGTCCTTTCTTGACACTAACATCCGCGCTTACCGATTTTTCTTGACACTAACATCCCCGCTTACCGACCTTTCTTGACACTAACATACGCGCTTACCGACCTTTCTTACACTAACATCCCCGCCTACCGACCTTTCTTGACAATAACATCCGCGCTTACCGACCATTCTTGACAATAACATCCGCGCTTACCGACCTTTCTTGACAATAACATCCGTGCTTACCGACCTTTCTTACACTAACATCCCCGCTTACCGACCTTTCTTGCGCTAACATCTGCGCTTACCGACCTTTCTTGACACTAACATCCGCTTACCGACCTTTCTTGACACTAACATCCGCGCTTACCGACCTTTCTTTACACTAACATCCGTGCTTATCGACCTTTCTTACACTAACATCCCCGCTTACCGACCTTTCTTGACACTTACATCCGCGCTTACCGACCTTTCCTGACAATAACATCCGCGCTTACCGCCCTTTCTTACACTAACATCCCCTCTTACCGACCTTTCTTGACACTAACATCCCCGCTTACCGACCTCTCTTGACAATAACATCCCCGCTTACAGACCTTTCTTGATACAAACATCCGCGCTTACCGACATTTCTTGACACTAACATCCCCGCTTACCGACCTCTCTTGACAATAACATCCCCGCTTACAGACCTTTCTTGATACAAACATCCGCGCTTACCGACATTTCTTGACACTAACATCCCCGCTTACCGACCTTTCTTGACAATAACATCCGTGCTTACCGACCTTTCTTACACTAACATCCCCGCTTATCGACCTTTCTTGACACTAACATCCGCGCTTACCGATCTTTCTTGACACTAACATCCCCGCTTACCGTCCTTTCTTGACACTAACATCCGCGCTTACCGATTTTTCTTGACACTAACATCCCCGCTTACCGACCTTTCTTGACAATACCATCCCCGCTTACCGACCTTTCTTGACACTAACAACATCCCCGCTTACCGACCTTTCTTGACACTAACAACATCCCCGCTTACCGACCTTTCTTGACACTAACATCCCCGCTTACCGGCCTTTCTTGACACTAACATCCGCGCTTACCGATTTTTCTTGACACTAACATCCCCGCTCACCGACCTTTCTTGACAATAACATCCCCGCTTACAGACCTTTCTTGATACAAACATCCGCGCTTACCGACATTTCTTGACACTAACATCCCCGCTTACCGACCTTTCTTGACAATAACATCCCCGCTTACAGACCTTTCTTGATACAAACATCCGCGCTTACCGACATTTCTTGACACTAACATCCCCGCTTACCGACCTTTCTTGACACTAACAACATCCCCGCTTACCGACCTTTCTTGACACTAACAACATCCCCGCTTACCGACCTTTCTTGACACTAACAACATCCCCGCTTACCGACCTTTCTTGACACTAACATCCCCGCTTACCGACCTTTCTTGACACTAACATCCGCGCTAACCGACCTTTCTTGACACTACCATCCGCGCTTATCGACCTTTCTTGACACTTATATCCGCGCTTACCGACCTTTCTTACACTAACATCCCCGCCTACCGACCTTTCTTGACAATAACATCCGCGCTTACCGTCCTTTCTTACACTAACATCCCCGCTTACCGGCCTTTCTTGTCACTAACATCCCCGCTTACCGACCTTTCTTGACACAGACATCCTCGCTAACCGACCTTTCTTACACTAACATCCCTGCTTACCGACCTTTCTTGACACTAACATCCGCGCTTATCGACCTTTCTTATACTAACATCCCCGCTTACCGACCTTTCTTGACACTAACATCCTCGCTAACCGACCTTTCTTACACTAACATCCCTGCTTACCGACCTTTCTTGACACTTACATCCGCGCTTACCGACCTTTCTTGACACTAACATCCGCGCTTACCGATCTTTCTTGGCACTAACATCCCCGCTTACCCACCTTTCTTGACACTAACTTCCGCGCTTACCGATCTATCTTTACACTAACTTCCCCGCTTACCGACCTTCCTTACACTAACATCCCCGCTTATCGACCTTTCTTGACACTTACATCCGCGCTTACCGACCTTTCCTGACAATAACATCCGCGCTTACCGACCTTTCTTACACTAACATCCCCTCTTACCGACCTTTCTTGACACTAACATCTGCGCTTACCGACCTTTCTTGACACTAACATCCGCGCTTACCGACCTTTCTTGACACTAACATCCGCGCTTATCGACCTTTCTTACACTAACATCCCCGCTTACCGACCTTTCTTGACACTAACATCCCCGCTTACCGACCTTTCTTGACACTAACATCCCCGCTTACCGACCTTTCTTGACACTAACATCCCCGCTTACCGACCTTTCTTGACACTAACATCCCCGCTTACCGACCTTTCTTGACACTAACATCCCCGCTTACCGACCTTTCTTGACACTAACATCCCCGCTTACCGACCTTTCTTGACACTAACATCCCCGCTTACCGACCTTTCTTGACACTAACATCCCCGCTTACCGACCTTTCTTGACACTAACATCCCCGCTTACCGACCTTTCTTGACACTAACATCCCCGCTTACCGACCTTTCTTGACACTAACATCCCCGCTTACCGACCTTTCTTGACACTAACATCCCCGCTTACCGACCTTTCTTGACACTAACATCCCCGCTTACCGACCTTTCTTGACACTAACATCCCCGCTTACCGACCTTTCTTGACACTAACATCCCCGCTTACCGACCTTTCTTGACACTAACATCCCCGCTTACCGACCTTTCTTGACACTAACATCCCCGCTTACCGACCTTTCTTGACACTAACATCCCCGCTTACCGACCTTTCTTGACACTAACATCCCCGCTTACCGACCTTTCTTGACACTAACATCCCCGCTTACCGACCTTTCTTGACACTAACATCCCCGCTTACCGACCTTTCTTGACACTAACATCCCCGCTTACCGACCTTTCTTGACACTAACATCCCCGCTTACCGACCTTTCTTGACACTAACATCCCCGCTTACCGACCTTTCTTGACACTAACATCCCCGCTTACCGACCTTTCTTGACACTAACATCCCCGCTTACCGACCTTTCTTGACACTAACATCCCCGCTTACCGACCTTTCTTGACACTAACATCCCCGCTTACCGACCTTTCTTGACACTAACATCCCCGCTTACCGACCTTTCTTGACACTAACATCCCCGCTTACCGACCTTTCTTGACACTAACATCCCCGCTTACCGACCTTTCTTGACACTAACATCCCCGCTTACCGACCTTTCTTGACACTAACATCCCCGCTTACCGACCTTTCTTGACACTAACATCCCCGCTTACCGACCTTTCTTGACACTAACATCCCCGCTTACCGACCTTTCTTGACACTAACATCCCCGCTTACCGACCTTTCTTGACACTAACATCCCCGCTTACCGACCTTTCTTGACACTAACATCCCCGCTTACCGACCTTTCTTGACACTAACATCCCCGCTTACCGACCTTTCTTGACACTAACATCCCCGCTTACCGACCTTTCTTGACACTAACATCCCCGCTTACCGACCTTTCTTGACACTAACATCCCCGCTTACCGACCTTTCTTGACACTAACATCCCCGCTTACCGACCTTTCTTGACACTAACATCCCCGCTTACCGACCTTTCTTGACACTAACATCCCCGCTTACCGACCTTTCTTGACACTAACATCCCCGCTTACCGACCTTTCTTGACACTAACATCCCCGCTTACCGACCTTTCTTGACACTAACATCCCCGCTTACCGACCTTTCTTGACACTAACATCCCCGCTTACCGACCTTTCTTGACACTAACATCCCCGCTTACCGACCTTTCTTGACACTAACATCCCCGCTTACCGACCTTTCTTGACACTAACATTCGCGCTTACCGACCTTTGGTGTTTACATATCAAAGTTGATTTTGTATTCCAGAGACAAAGTTCCAACATGGGTTTCAAGAGAAGGCTATGGACAAAGGAGCAAGGGCGTTTATGGTAATTTCCGGCTCATCTGGGATTTAGAATTAGTTGTCATATTCGTAATCTAGAATAAATGAAGTACGCAAATATGAAATTTCAAATTCATTCGACAACTGATTAAGGGGATATGGCATTATAAAGAGGGACACACACCCGCATGTTCATAACAAAATGCGTGAATATCGTCTGTTGTGAAATTTTTGGTTGGGAATTGACTATTCTGAAGGAAATCAACTAAACACTCTCCAATGTTTGAAAGCCTCCGCATGCAACAAACAAATAAATATTTGACATGCTTAAACATTGTTATACCAGTGTTCATTTGTAGAAAGGATTTTATGTTTGTCGCATGCGGAGGCTTTCATTTTTGCATGCCAACTGTCCAAAAACACCATAAACTTGCTATTTCTGCATAGCAACGCAATTTTGTTGCTATGATAGGGCAACTTCGCATTGGAAAATATGTGTATCAAGAAAATGAAGTCCCAATTTACCAATATGATGTTGATAGCAATATTGGTCAGTTAATTCAAGTTGAAATTTTTACTTTTTATGAGGCCAAAAGTGTGACTGAGGTCGACGTTTAGTGTGCCTTTTTGTTTCAATGCAACTACTGCAGTTCTAGCTTTGAAGACGGGACATTACTTGCGTTTAACCTAGAAGCAGAAATCGCTAACCCTTCCGGAATACCTGGGTTTTCACTCCGTATACTTATTCAATGGTCTTCCTGTAAATATTTCCGTTGACATTAATTCATGATTTATATTTGATAATAATTTCCTTTTGGACATATTGTGTTGTTATTGTGCAAATCCCTAGTTCTGTGGTACTTGTTGCTTTAAAGTGGAAGCGACAATATGGTTTTCATTGTGCCCAATCCTTTGTTGCTTCAAAGGGCCACGTGATAGTCATTATCGTTCCCGCTCCTTTGGTGCGTGTTGTTTTGGGAGGGTCCGCAATGTGGCTGTTAATGTCACCCTCCTCAGGTACGTTGTTGGTAGGCACAAGACGATATTCAATTTCTTCTTTCCTTTGGCTTATGATGTTCGACTACAAGTTGATTTTCAGTTTCCTATTGTTCTGAGCTTACTGTTGGAGTATGGGGTGTGCCAAATGTCCTTTGGCCGTTGCTGTTTTAGTGTTTGGTCACGAGACGGTCGCTATAGTCTCCTTTCATTTTCGTTATAATTGCTTCTCCATTTGCGCCCGTTTTAGGGTATGGTCATATAAGATGCCCTGGTTGTACTGATTATATGTGATATAATGATTAGTACACTGGAGTAGGGCTACACGATGGCCCTTGTATACTTAGAATGCCCTCTTAAAGTAAGTACATTCACTCATAGGAGGACAGCGGGGACTACACTAAGGAAGTCGTTCCCAAGACCGCAGCCGCCGTGGCAGCCTGTCCGCATCTGATCAAGGAGCTCGAGCTGTCCGACCTCAGAGCATGACCTGGATAGGCAGGACTTTTGAATCTCCGATGTCCTGGTAAGCGGAAACTTTACCCCCTACGTCGAAGTGTAGACGTAAAACACACTAACCAACCAAGTACATTCCAGGTGGCGAGATCCAGGATTTTCTGTAAGAAGCGTACGATTGTGAGGTGGAATTTACTGCTAATGTGATGCTAGGCCAGTTTTGGAGAGATTGCCTATTAAAGAAACAGGTACCTTGAGGTGCTTTAGGTCAGTTTTACGGATAGAGATGCCTGGATACACCGCTACGTATTCTATATGAAGGACATCTTGCTTTCTCCATATCATAAAGGGTACAGAAGTGACATCATAAATTATGTTCATGATATAATAAAAGTAATAAGTAGCATCCATGAGTACATAAATGAAAACTTAATTGCATATTTAGTAGATATATATTGCTGTATACCGGGGAGTTTTTCGCTTTGGCAGTTTGACTTCGCCCTCCATAACAAGGCATACTAACATAGTAGCATGTATTACATTTAAGATTAATGAAGATAACACTGGGCCAATATGGATTTTACAAGTACAGGACGAAAGTGTCCATGTACATAGTGTATCTGCAAACATCCCCAGTAACAGTTCATCGCTACCTATATATTTCCCCATTTTCTTTTTATTTGTGAAGACTTTCGTGTTTTCCATTTCTCTAATAAACTACCGCGAAGTTTCACATAAAATATCCTGTTATTCAAAAGATATGGCCGACTTGCATTGGTTCACGAAAATACTTAAATTTGCTTTTCAACCTGGTTTTTATTTTTCCGTTGGTGTTTAGAGGAAGGACCAGGACATGTCCTGTAGTGCTAGAAATAGCTTTGCTCAATTGGTTTGGTTTGTTTTTTACGTTCAATTAACAGCTCTGGTCATCTAACTATGAGGACATACCAGGTTTTGGTGGTGGAGGGAAACCAGAGTACCCGGACAAAAACCACCGACATGCAGCCAAAACCTGTCGACCGACCCACTTGATCCCTCGACCCAGACTTGGAGGGCTAGTGATCAAACATGTCAGACACCTAAAACTACTCGGCACCGCGGCCCCCGGCCTTGCTTAAGGAAGTACTCTTCTGAGGTTTCAATCACGTTCAAGTCTCGTTTTGATCTGGTGTAATGGGTTTTTGTAATATTTAACAACTTATGATCAAGTTTATTAGCAAACACGCATCTAAAAAATATGTCAAAAAACTAGATGCCTGTTGTTTGTAGAACTTTTTTTACAAGAATTTTGAAAAATTACCAATTCGGCGGCCATTTTGAAAATGTGTATTATTGTGTGAATCTTGTGCTTCAAAAAAGGCCAAATTTTCACCTTTTTTGGCACTAGATTGTTCACTTAAATTGTCATTGTGTCGCCATTTTTAATTGTAGCAGGTTCATTTTTGCTGTACAACTTTATAATGTTCAATATGATAAAAATAATATGCAACAAACTGGAAAATTATACATTATTGATATTTTTTTTACCTATTTAGTGCAACTGAAGCACTTTTGATTTTTGACCCCGAAAAAACTAAAAAATAACACAAATGATAATGGGACAAAAAAAGAAGCACACTGACCCCCCATTTTTGTAGATGTTTTAGAAAAAGAAACACGTTTTCATTTAATTCATTAAATATTAAAAAAAGTTAAATACCACATATTTACTGGTACAGTTCTTTAAATGTAAGAGAAATAGATCCGATCATTACAATATCAGAAAGATCTCATAGTACTTCCTGTGTCCATGTGGTTTGTATGATCACTCTCCAAAGTAAACATGCACAGCTACAGACCAAGGGGAACCAACACATCAAATTTGAGTAAGATATCTCCAAAACTTCATGGAAATAGCGAAAACAAACATTAACTGTCAAAATCCAAGATGGCCACCTGTGGGCCATTTTTGATATTCGATTAGTATCAAAAGTAAACATGCACAACAACAGACCAAGGGGAATCTTCATATCAAATTTGAGAAAGATACCTCCAAAACTACTCGAGAAATAGCCCTAACAAACATTCAGTCAAAATCCAAGATGGCCACCTGTCAGCCATTTTGTGTATTCCATCGATCAGTTTTAAAAGTAAACAGGCACAACTACAGACCAAGGGGAACCTACATGTCCAATTGAGAAAATTCCCTCCAGAATTTGCTGAGAAATAGTGATAACAACCATTTACTGTGAAAATTCAAGTTGGCCACCTGTCGGACATTTTGTTTATCCGATCAATCCCAAAAGTAAACATGCACAACTACTCAACCATCTTCACTTCAATAATAAATTGACACCGACTACTTAAAGTAAATAACAGGTTTATTTGTCAACAAACTAATATTACAATCTGCCATCAATATGTCATTATTTCATGAACAATCCTCGGCTAAATATAGGGAACAGTTTTACTTATAGAAGGTTTTAATTTGATACACTTTGTAGAGAAATAAACCTACAAATCATTTTAATATATAATTGGTACACCAAGTGTATACAATTAATATTACTTTACCAGCACATCTCCTAGTAATGGTTGTACAGTAGATATGTTTTGGCATTGATTACAAGTTCATACCAGTTTGCATTGAAGTCGAGCCTTGTCAATCCAGCCACCACTAATCGGCTGTATTCTGTATTATGTACTGTTAAAATTATTCTGAAATAAATTCATGCATTATTAAAGATAAATTGATAAAATTTTAGTTAACACAAATTCACATAATATCATCTTTGAGTGAAATGTAAACTAGATCGAGTTTTGACAGAATTTGCTCATCCAGAGGTTTGGCTAAGGTAGGTGACAAGGATGGGCAGGAACACAGACTAAATGTAACGTTTGTCCCGGAAACAGTCTCAAACATACACCACTGACATTAACATGGTATAAAATCTGACATGTCCGACATCAACTTAAACTATACATTTCACATACAACGCCATTAAGTTATAATATATCTATTGACGGCAGAACTCCAAAAATACTTGTGACGTAATGTACACAGCGCCTGTAACACACCTGTAAAATTACAGTCTAGAAGAACGTGGTCACTTTTAGATATTGGGACAACTTTTTCTCAAATGGAAACCAGCGAGTTTTCAAAACAAACAAACAAAATAAACATGCAGTATATATATGTATACCCAAGTGTAAATATTGCAAAACCTTTCAAAACAGTAGAAAAATTCTAGAAAATATTATGTACAATGACCTTTTGCAGGTCACTGGAACCTAGACTATGGAGAAGCAACAAATTGATATCACACAGCTTCTAGCAGGTAGTGTAGAGGCTGACGATATGTCCTAGATCGTACTTACTTACAATGCAGACAACACATACTATTTATCTTGAACTACCTGTCAATATAGGTTTTGATACTTAAAAAAACACAGAAATTTTAAAGCGACAATAAACATATTTACTGTTCATAAAAATATTCTACCGGAGAAAACAAATTTGTATCAAATAACATTGTAACCAGTAGAGTCACTGTCCACTAGTAGCGGGTATGGAAATCGTGGCCATTGTAGCATTAAGTATAATGTTAGCAACGTCACTGATGATCCTCAAAGGACATGTATCAATGACATCGCCCCAATCTCACAAAACTTCTCAACTCTAAAAATGTCCTAAAACATTGTTTAATTTCACATTTCCTCTCAAATGTTCTAGATGTTTTTAGTTCATCAAATCTTCCAAGTCAGAGGGTGATTTCTGAACATAGATTAATGAAAATTGTTTTTACTATTGCAATTAATGTTTGAAGAAACAGACACCTAACTATAGATTTGAGACATTCTTTATGTGAAGAAGACTTGTGATTCCGAAAAAGAAAGACGATCAGAACCATTTCCACATACAATAAACTTCATTGTTATTTGAGGGCGATTCAAACTATTTAAAAGTCAGTTAAACCTGCTCTCAAGACCTCCTGTGTTAAAATCTGGAATGCTCAATACAATCTGGAACACATGCTGTCCAGATAATTTATGTGCAAGTCAAGTTTACGTTATATAAATCTGGGAAAAATCTGAACTGTTTTTTTCTGTACCCAGGTACCTAGACTTATTAGAAACTATGGTGTAATCTAGTCAGTAACATTTACTTTATGACAATGCCACTATGTTCAGTTTAGTGAATTTGGTTCCGAAACTGAAAAATATTTGTAATCTCTACACATATCACTTCAAAATGTAAACATATTCTTTGTAATATTTTCAGTACAACACAATATTGCAACACATACCTCATATATTAAATTTCTGATTCAACATGATTGGTTAATATATTTCAATTATTGATTTGATATACTACAGGGAAACACGAGTTGAGAAGGTGGACAACTTCTGTCTCAGTTTGAATTACAATGTCCACCGATTCACCTAGCCGATAAATGTCAGCATCTTCTTTCTAATGTTGGTAAAGTTTTTTCTAATACCATTGGGTTATTAGCACTATTAAATGTACATAATTTCTAGTAATAAAAAAATATGGATTCATTGGTTTTTTAAGGATCCGTTAAAAAGGTTTTTTTCTGGCAAGACCATTGCTTTGATAAATCATTGTTGAAAAGAAAACCAAACCATGCGGGACTGTATTAAAAAACAATAACGATAAAAAAAATTAACATAATCATCAAACAGTGTTCTGTGTGTAAAAATTCATTTGGGCTACACTGGGATTCGAACTCTGGACTTCAGACTATTTCACTGTATCTCTAAGCGACTTGAGCTACCTCAACAAAAGTGTCCTGCCTAACTGTGCTACAGTTAACGTTACCGCCAGAACGAAATTAAGGGGAGGTAACTGTTCATACAACAAAACACATTGCAGTGGGACAGGGATCCTTAAGAATACTGTATAGGTTAAATATCATTTCAGAAAAGAAAAAGTGAGGAAAACATTTGCGATATGGACACTACATTATAAAGCTCATCATGAAAAATATATTTGATAAAAATATCGTTCTTTGGAGTTGTCATCAAACATCATTCACAAGAAAAGCGTGATGAAGAATTTTTTACGACCTGACCCGCTTAAAATTATTACAAATCAAAACAAGAAATTTAGCTGAAATAAATACTATCATAATAATAATTTGTTTAACAGATAAACACAGCTCTGCTTGTTTCTATCAGTTGCACCAAGAAACAAAGATTTGCACCAAACTCAGCACGACATTTAATTCACTTTCAGATCTATTGCCAGACAAAAACTTACAGTATTCAAGCATTAAAACAATTCAACATATGGAATTCACTTTTATCCCCTGCGTCACAAAATGTAAAAAAGAAAGAAAGAACAATACAGATTGTAGTCTATAATCTAAAGGAAACACTGCCATGCACTTATAATAACAGGCATAGCAGCACTGGTGATACTGTTACATGCAAAATGACCGACCGTCAATTCCGCACCATCTTTGCAATGCCATTAACTGTATGACCCAGTGGTGACCTTTAATTCACACACAGTTACGATGTAAATATAACCGTGACAACTTGTTTCACTCAGTAACAGCGTAAAATAACCATGGCAACCTATCACTGACGGTGACATTGTAGGTGAGATCTTGGCGGTCTTTCTTCATAATTACAAAGTCAGTATCATTGTAGCAATCTTTCTCTCACAGTTATAGTTTAAGCATGAATCGTCGCGGCCTCTCTCACAGTTTAAGCATGAACCATTGTGGCCCCTCTCACTGAGTGAAAGTGGGAGTTGACCGAGCCACTAGATCTGCTCATGCCTTTTTGGCCGCCGCGTTGGCCTGAGCCATCATCTCATCAAGGGATTGATGGGGGGCCGGTAGCTTCAGTTCGTTGGGTGTCACCCCCCAGATGTCCTTGGCATATTCCGATATTGTGCGGTCGCTAGAAAACTTGCCGGACGAAGCTATGTTGAGCAAACACATCTTTGACCATTTGGTTTGATCCTGAAAACAAAGATACAGAAACATTAACATCTATTGGTCAATTAACTGGACAGACACCTGTTACTGTATCTATTCTATTGATGGTCCATCCCTATGAAACGCCTCTCCAGTTTTGTCATTGTCTTAAAATAACCCATAATTGATTTACGAAAGAAGATGAATTCTGCCCTCACACCATAAAGCACAGATTCAGATTCCAGCCCCAGTTACATATATATGGTTTGGGCCATTTGGAGGACTGTAGTTTAAGTTTAAACTACAAAATAATGATCCTGATTTATTGTTATTTAACTGTTTGATACTTATGTAATTTTTTGAATGTTATTTCTTTAATTGTATGTTGTTCTTCTATACCTGAGATTGGATTAACATCTATTCCTGAGATTGGATTAACATCTATACCTGAGATTGGATTAACATCTATACCTGATATTGGATTAACATTTATACCTGAAATTGGATTAACATCTAAACCTGAGATTTGATTAACATCTAAACCTGAGATTGGATTAACATCTAAACCTGAGATTGGATTAACATCTATACCTGAGATTGGATTAACATCTATACCTGAGATTGGATTAACATCTATACCTGAGATTGGATTAACATCTATACCTGAGATTGGATTAACATCTATACCTGAGATTGGATTAACATCTATACCTGAGATTGGATTAACATCTATACCTGAGATTGGATTAACATCTATACCTGAGATTGGATTAACATCTATACCTGAGATTGGATTAACATCTATACCTGAGATTGGATTAACATCTATACCTGAGATTGGATTAACATCTATACCTGAGATTGGATTAACATCTATACCTGAGATTGGATTAACATCTATACCTGAGATTGGATTAACATCTATACCTGAGATTGGATTAACATCTATACCTGAGATTGGATTAACATCTATACCTGAGATTGGATTAACATCTATACCTGAGATTGGATTAACATCTATACCTGAGATTGGATTAACATCTATACCTGAGATTGGATTAACATCTATACCTGAGATTGGATTAACATCTATACCTGAGATTGGATTAACATCTATACCTGAGATTGGATTAACATCTATACCTGAGATTGGATTAACATCTATACCTGAGATTGGATTAACATCTATACCTGAGATTGGATTAACATCTATACCTGAGATTGGATTAACATCTATACCTGAGATTGGATTAACATCTATACCTGAGATTGGATTAACATCTATACCTGAGATTGGATTAACATCTATACCTGAGATTGGATTAACATCTATACCTGAGATTGGATTAACATCTATACCTGAGATTGGATTAACATCTATACCTGAGATTGGATTAACATCTATACCTGAGATTGGATTAACATCTATACCTGAGATTGGATTAACATCTATACCTGAGATTGGATTAACATCTAAACCTGAGATTGGATTAACATCTATACCTGAGATTGGATTAACATCTAAACCTGAGATTGGATTAACATCTATACCTGAGATTGGATTAACATCTAAACCTGAGATTGGATTAACATCTATACCTGAGATTGGATTAACATCTATACCTGAAGATTGGATTAACATCTAAACCTGAGATTGGATTAACATCTATACCTGAAGATTGGATTAACATCTATACCTGAGATTGGATTAACATCTATACCTGAGATTGGATTAACATATGTCTATATTGCTTTCTTATGGTGTTCAGTAGTATGTATTCTATCAATTGTCATGTCCTCACTGTTCCTTGTGCCGTCACATTAGACATTATTACACATGACATATAACTTAAATTAAATTATATAACTCACTCCAATCTGTTTTCCACAGTCTTAACTAAAACTGTCATCCGGAGGATAACTAATACCCCCCAGATGCTATTGGTTTGGTGACCTTGACATTGGGGTTCCGGACAAGTTAATTTGCATAAAGCGATGTAACGCCCTTAAAAAGTGTTGAAATCTGAAATTAAAAGGCTGATGCAGAACTACATAACATACTGATCATACAAGTGAAGTTTCAATGAAATCTGCCAGTTAGCTAAGATGGAGTTTTACAGACAAGTTACTGTGGACAACAGACATCAAGACAGGGTGATTCCAGTATATCCCCCTCCCCCAACTTCATATAATGACTTAAACCTGTTTAATATTACGTGACTATTTCAGATCATTGACAGAAAACTTAACTACCGGCATAAAGCCGACATTAAAGAAACCTGTATTTGCCTTACTCTGACCCAGGATTTGAAGTATGGGTCTATTTGCCTAACTCTGACCAATGATTTGAAGTATGAGTCTATTTGCCTAACTCTGACCCAGGATTTGAAATATGGGTCTATTTGCCTAACTCTGACCCAGGATTTGAAGTATGGGTCTCTATACCTTTGTAGGTAGAGAAAAGAAATTCATTTTATAACTGTCACTGAATTTATTGTTTAATAAAGCCTATAAATATATATATGTTCTAATTTGTTGCATGATTTGATATTGATGATGTTTACTGGTTAAGACAGATATTGAATGACTATTTCATTTTCCAGAATATAAACGATAACAAAAATTTCAAAATTTTAAAGTTCAATTGAATATATTAAGCACAGGGATTTTTATCAGTTGGTTTAAGAAAAACACTGTTTAATTTTAGATGTTGGTTGACGATGCTCACCAGGTATGTTTCGCTAACTTTGTCCTGGCATTTGACGTAGGATTCAAAGTCCTTCAATAACAGGAATCTGTAAACACAAAAAGGCCAGGAGTTACGTCAACCATCAACAGCTATAACATATATCAAAGTAAAACAAAAAGAATTTTATTTGATGAAAGTTGTTGTTCAATATGATGTCACAAAGCCTATTCATTTGGATATCTGACACTTCATATGCCGAGTGTCAAGTCTCTCCGCTTAAACACTGGAAACGTTCAGTTTCTGCACATGTCTAGATCGCCAAATTATAATCCACTAATTTTTTATTTTTTCGGCAAAAATCGTGAAAACTTAAGCCAGTGTACATTACATGTTTTAAGGTAGGTAGAATATGTATATTTCTATGCCTACTTCAGTATCTTATGGATCTGAATCAAAGCTCAACTCTCAAAGTAGGAACAGTTTAACCCTTTCACCCCTATGTAGCTGAAGTAGCCTCTACCATGCATTGATATGGATGTGTCCATTCGTGGTCTACAGTAGTGAAAGGGTTAAAAAAAAAGAACCAGTAAAATTATTCTATTTTCATAAGAGATTTTTTTTTCGCTGTATTCGGGAAATATGTACAAATCCCATTTATCACATATCTAGGCAGGAAAACACTGCGTGTGTTGTTATAAGGGTTCCTCTGTGTTACCAGTACCTGTCATGGTTGAGGAGGATGTCCACCAGCTCCTGGAAGAGGTGTGGCTCTCCAGGCGAGAAGTAACCACTTGACACCTGATCGATGATCTGTTTAAGGTCGGGGTTACTTTCGTAATATTGTCTGGAGTTGTACCTAATATCAAAAGGACAAATAAAGGCGGAGTTAGGACTCTGTGTAAAAATCTGTAGGGGCTGATTCTCGTCATCACTGGTATTTACTTTTTATAATATATGTGTATAACATTTATGTGTATGCTTGTGTTATCAATCTGTATTTCATTGCCTAAAATGTGCGTTTTGGGTGATTTTTGTCAAATTACACAGAGCTTTAAAGAAGTGATATATATTATTAAAATATCACTTAATTGAACATACTGTAAGATTTAATGAAACATTCCTATGAATAAATTAATTTTTGTTTCTTTCAAATTATTATACAAGACAGATTAACCTAAACACAGCATTTGTTTCCAAAGTATCTGACCTTTAAACGTTTCTAGATAGGATACATTTTTGTCTTTTTCCAAGGTTAATTTATCGTATACACTAAGCTAAACATGCCATATTAAGTCAAATACAATCTGTTTGTACTCCATTAGTTCAAAACTACACAACTTCCTGTATTATTAAATTGTCTGGTCAAAGGAGACTTCATCATTCATATCAATAGCCATGTGTACCCTTCTTTCTTGGTTTGTTCCACTTCATCGACCTCCATGCCAAAGATGAAGATGTTTTCCGCACCCATCTCCTCCGTCATCTCCACGTTGGCTCCGTCCAGCGTGCCGATGGTCAGTGCTCCGTTCAACATGAACTTCATGTTTCCTGTGCCAGAGGCTTCTGTACCAGCGGTGGAGATCTGCTCGCTCAGGTCTGCTGCGGGGATGATCTTCTCGGCCAGGGACACACGGTAGTTCTCCAGATATATGATCTTGAGTCGGTCCCCAATGATCGGGTCGTTGTTTACCACCTTGGCCACAGAGGTGATCAGCTTGATGATCAGTTTGGCAGTGTGGTACCCGGGTGCAGCCTAGCAAAATACATTTTGTGAAAAATTTAGTCATATACAGTGGAACGTGAATAGTCCAGCCATTTTTGTTCCTGGCTAAAAGTGGCTAGCTGGTAAAGCTGCCGAATTTCTGGGGCAGTTTTGTATAGAACTAGAAAATCTTTGTAAAATATATGGATGCCCCCACTTCTAATGTGATGAAAATTAAATGCAAAGTCTAACTACGGAATTGGAGCAAAATGCAAAATCTATCGAAGCCAGTGAAGTGGAAAATATAGATCACTGTGACCTACATTTGATTAGTAATCCTCAAGATGTATCCACATATCAAAATGGTAACCTTTCCTAAATCACTGGATATATTTTAAACATGAAAAGGTTCATTTTGCATGATTGCCCTAGCTACGAAGGCCATAAGGGGTTGAGACTAATGTATTGCCTTGCCCCAGACCATGATTGTCTTAGCTACGAAGGCCATAAGGGGTTGAGACTAATGTATTACCTTGCCTGACCATGATTGTCCTAGCTACGAAGGCCAAAAGGGGTTGAGACTACATGTATTGCCTTGCCCCAGACCATGGTTGTCCTATCTACGAAGGCCATAAGGGGTTGAGACTACATGTATTGCCTTGCCCATGACCATGATTTTCCTAGTTACAAAGGCCATGTGGGGTTGAGACTAATGTATTACCTTGCCCCAGACCATGATTGTCCTAGCTACGAGGCCATAAGGGGTTGAGACTAATGTATTACCTTGCCTGACCATGATTGTCCTAGCTACGAAGGCCATAAGGGGTTGAGACTACATGTATTATCTTGCCCCTGACCACGATTGTTCTAGTTACAAAGGCCATGTGGGGTTGAGACTTAGGCCACTTTCGTCTATTGCAATCCAAACGGGTGTACAGGTTGGACCCAATTTGTTCATTTATGAAATAAGGTTGGACCTTTTAATCTGATGCAACTTTCAGGCGAGCCTTGGCAAAACCTTGCCAGTTCATTTTTAGGTCTGCCAGGATTTTTACTCGAAAATGTTACATTTACAAATAGACCACATAAACCAACATGCCCCTAATGTATCACCTTGCCCCCGATCATGATTGTTCTAGGTACGAAAGCCATGTTGGGATCCCGCTTGAGTCGGTTGTACAACAAGATCATATGTAAACAGTTCATCAGCTGCCGCTTATACTCATGGATACGCTTCACTTGGATGTCAAAGATGGACGCAGGGTTCACGGTCACATTGTACTCCTTCAGGATGTACTCGGCCAGCTTCATCTTGTTCTCCTGCAAGATCAGAGCATGTGCTGTAATGTTTTATAAGTCTGAGAGGCTTTTATGGGTGAATAAGTTGAGCAGGTAAACACCAAGCAACAACTGTCAATATTACTTAGGAAAATATCAATTACATTCATCTTATTTAATACTTTTTATTTGAATACCGATACTTTTTAATTATTCAGAGGAATTGTACGTCATTCAAAAGAACAGAACCAAGAAAACAAACCTCCTACCACTGGGTTTTATAAGTTTGATTGACTCACCTGTTTCACTTTCATAATCTTGTTGAGGTAGGAATCCTCATCTACAAACTGTTTAAGCTGGGCAAGCTCGTACAGGTCAGTAGCCCAGGTCTCTCCGATTTTCTGAAATTGAATAAAATACTTTCTAGTTACAAGAAATCAGGTCTGTCCGGGTCAAGTGATCGGGGCATTGAATTAGGGTTAAGGGTATATGCTACCTAACAAATTCTTTTTACCTCTAATTTTGTCAGCCATAATATTATGCGTTTCAATGTTGAATGTTAACAGTGTATACTTACCAGTACTGCTATACATATCTTAATTCTCTCACCTGGAGTAGAAAAATCTTAATATAAAGAGGAGGTGAATATTCTCGTTTTATGTTATTAACAGCCCTGGAACATTTGTATACAGAACAAAACATTGTATGATCGTCATATGATACGAAACACCAAGTTGGCTTATCTCTGGGAGTGTACTGACCTCCGCAATGACATCAGACAGGCCAGGATTACACAGGAGAAGCCAGCGACGAGGAGTGATGCCGTTCGTCTTGTTCTGGAAACGCTCGGGGAACATATCGTAGAAGTCCTTGAACCTGGAAAGATATAATGAATATTTTAACAGACATTACAGCTTACCATGTATCTCAATGAAAATCCTAATTTTCCAGGGGGTCACAGCATGTTTGTATGAAGTAACTTCCATTATTTGGAAGAAGACAATCCTTGCCGAACGACATATACAGAAAACTACACTTTACTGAATATTCAATCCACCTCCACACATTATTGATTTTATGTCCAACTTTTAACAGGCTTTTTAAATATCTAAAAAGAAATTCATATTATGTTCATTTTTTTTTTAACTTCATATCAATTTCAACCTGAAGATGTCTTCAAGTAATAATTGAACTTGACCTCTGGGAAACAACGTGACATTTGTCAACTTACGTGTCATTTTTGATGATGTTTGAATGAATGGCCGCCACACCGTTGATGGCGTGTGAGCCGACTATGGCCAGGTGAGCCATGTTGATTTTCTTCTCTCCGAACTCCTCCACAAGGGACATCCTCCTCATTCTGTCTGCATCACCCGGGAAACGTTGGGCTACCTCCTACAATACCAAAGTATTTCCTTTAAATGTTTTTATAGGCACAATCATTGTTTAGTTTTACTTCATACATTTTAGTAGTGAATCTACCAAGTAAAAATGTGTTTGGCAAATGTAAGTGTAATGGTTGATGACATTGTGGTCATACCGATATATTGATGCGGTGGATGATAATGTAGTGTAGTTGTGTAAAAATAATTAGAAATTGCTTATCTGCATGAAGTTTTGGTTAACTCATTCACCCCTACATATTTAAACTGGACTTGCCCAGTCTATGATTTGGTAAGGTTCAAATGAAACTTTTTGGTGTGAATGTGTTCATTAGGTAGGGTTATGTATGAAGTTGTGGTTGATGAGGTAAGCTTGTATTAAGGGAGGTTATCAGAGATAACTTATCTGCATTGAGTTGTGGTTGATGAGGTAAGCTTCTATAAAGGGAGGTTATCAGAGATAACTTATATGCATTAAGTTGTGGTTGATGAGGTAAGCTTGTATAAAGGGAAGTTATCAGAGATAACTTATCTGCATTAAGTTGTGGTTGCTGAGGTAAGCTTGTATAAACGGAGGTTATCAGAGATAACTTATCTGCATTAGGTAGTGGTTGATGAGGTAAGCTTGTATAAAGGGAGGCTATCAGAGATAACTTATCTGCACTAAGTTGTGGTTGATGCGGCAAGCTTGGATAAAGGGAGGTTATCAGAGATAACTTATCTGCATTAAGTGGTGGTTGATGAGGTAAGCTTGTATAAAGGGAGGTTATCGGAGATAACTTATCTGCATTAAGTAGTGGTTGATGTGGTAAGCTTATATAAAGGGAGGTTATCAGAGATAACTTATCTGCATTAAGTAGCGGTTGATGAGGTAAGCTTGTATAAAGGGAGGTAATCAGAGATAACTTATCTGCATTAAGTTGTGGTTGCTGAGGTAAGCTTGTATAAACGGAGGTTATCAGAGATAACTTATCTGCATTAAGCAGTGGTTGATGAGGTAAGCTTGTATAAAGGGAGGTAATCAGAGATAACTTATCTGCATTAAGTAGTGGTTGATGAAGTAAGCTTGTATAAAGGGAGGTAATCAGAGATAACTTATCTGCATTAAGTAGTGGTTGATGAAGTAAGCTTGTATAAAGGGAGGTAATCAGAGATAACTTATCTGCATTAAGTTGTGGTTGATGAGGTAAGCTTGTATAAAGGGAGGCTATCAGAGATAACTTATCTGCACTAAGTTGTGGTTGATGCGGTAAGCTTGTATAAAGGGAGGTTATCAGAGATAACTTATCTGCATTAAGTAGTGGTTGATGAGGTAAGCTTGTATAAAGGGAGGTTATCAGAGATAACTTATCTGCATTAAGTAGTGGTTGATGAGGTAAGCTTGTATAAAGGGAGGTTATCAGAGATAACTTATCTGCATTAAGTTGTGGTTGATGAGGTAAGCTTGTATAAAGGGAGGTAATCAGAGATAACTTATCTGCATTAAGTTGTGGTTGATGAGGTAAGCTTGTATAAAGGGAGGTAATCAGAGATAACTTATCTGCATTAAGTTGTGGTTGATGAGGTAAGCTTGTATAAAGGGAGGTAATCAGAGATAACTTATCTGCATTAAGTTGTGGTTGATGAGGTAAGCTTGTATAAAGGGAGGTAATCAGAGATAACTTATCTGCATTAAGTTGTGGTTGATGAGGTAAGCTTGTATAAAGGGAGGTAATCAGAGATAACTTATCTGCATTAAGTTGTGGTTGATGAGGTAAGCTTGTATAAAGGGAGGTAATCAGAGATAACTTATCTGCATTAAGTTGTGGTTGATGAGGTAAGCTTGTATAAAGGGAGGTAATCAGAGATAACTTATCTGCATTAAGTTGTGGTTGATGAGGTAAGCTTGTATAAAGGGAGGTAATCAGAGATAACTTATCTGCATTAAGTTGTGGTTGATGAGGTAAGCTTGTATAAAGGGAGGTAATCAGAGATAACTTATCTGCATTAAGTTGTGGTTGATGCGGTAAGCTTGTATAAAGGGAGGTAATCAGAGATAACTTATCTGCATTAAGTTGTGGTTGATGCGGTAAGCTTACATATAGGGAGATAAGCATAGGTGGCTGACCTGCATGAAGTTGTGGTTGATGAGGTAGATAATCTCCAAGTGTCGGGGGAGGAGGTTCCCCATGAGAGAGACAGGCCAGCGCTCCAGGGCCTCAGGAAGCACGGTGTGATTGGTGTAAGCACAGGTATTTACACAGATTGGCCACGCCTTTTCCCAGGGTACATGTTCAATGTCCACCAAGATCCTCAACAGCTCGGGGATGGCTAGCGCAGGGTGAGTGTCATTCAGCTGAATAGCCACCTGTAAAAATACATTTTAATTGTAGCTAGTCACATATATTCACAGTAAAATGTCTGTTTTAAAAATTCTTTTAAATATATTTTTATAATTTATAAACAGTTTAATTAATGAGGTTTGTAAACAACTCTACTTTAGTCAACTAATAGAATTTTTTATTGTTTCTTTACTTAATTTCTTTCCCAAATGTTGCCTCAGCAATACCATCTTGTTCATCTCCAAGGATAAAACACCTTTCTATCTCCCCTGTATTTGAATATTCTGATTAAGAAGGAAGTGCTTACCTTGTCTGGGAATGATTCGAAGGAAGTGCGGACTGGATCTCTGCTGCCGAACTTGGACGACTTGAACCTCCTGATGATGTCCTGGAGAGTGGCAGCCACCAAGAAGTATTCTTGTTTCAGACGCAGCTCTTTACCCTCAAACATCTGAATGATAAAGAAAGGCATACTGGTACTACATCATCCTTTTACACCTAAAATAATCACCCTTAAACATCTGAAAGAAACAGAATATCACCCCGACACATCTGAAAGACCTAGGCAGCATTTGTTTATCACGATCCAAACAGTTGAACTGGTCAGACCAGAGTTGTTCGTTTAAGAGATAAGGTCAGACCTAGTAATCTAATGTTGGTTTCAGGTCAGCCTTGACAAAGCCTTGCCATGCCTGCTTAAACATTTGCAGGTTTGCCAGGATTTATACCCGAAAACGTTACATGTAAAAACGGACAAAACGGTCGAACCGGATATGTGAAAGGGGCCATAGAATATCACCTCAAACATCTGAAAGACTCGGATTAAAATCCTCAAGCATAAAATGGATACAAAATAACGCCCTCATTGTACATAATTACATTGTCGTTGTACTTACATTGTCGTTGGGGTATAGTACCCGGGATATGTTCTCAGCCTCATTTCTGTCACACACAGCATTAATGTAGGAACCGTTGTTGACTGATAAATGAAATACAATAAATCTTAATGATATGTTACTATCAGATATCTACAATAATACAGGTTACACTGAATAACCGGGGTGTCACAATATGCCTGGAGTATATCACCATATATTGCAATACACAGGGAATGTACTGGAATACAATTATTCCGATATAATGTCATAGGAAAAAGTTGTTCGATTTAAATAGAATTCTTTGTCAGATTGATATCAGACCAAATCATATATCATATTGATCAGAAATATCTAAACTTTTCTCTACACAAACCATCAATTATGAAATTTAAACTGACTCCCCCCACTAGTGTAGCCTGAGGATTGTTATTTGCATATCAGTTAGAATATGTAGTATTTTGTAAGGTTAACAAAAACCCACCTAGCATACGGCATAAAATAAGCTTTTGAAATACATTGCAATACATCAGTATTTAATTTGTGTATTGCGATACGATACGATATACCTGTGTATTGCTATATACCTGTACCAGTTTTTCCAATATATTGTGACAGCCCTACTGTTGTAATTAAAAACATTGATAAGCGAAGCAGTTGTATTAACAAAACATGGTATGGTTTGCATTTTGGTGTCAAAAAAATTGCTAGAACATAGATAAGGACGAGGAAAAATGATGAACTCATGAAGTGATGACGGTCACAAGTAAAATCCTCCAAAACTCTGTATATATTTATATCTGTGATGGAGCCCCCTTAAACATTTATATTCCATCCAAAAAAAGGTCTTTGCACAGGTAAAAAATGTATAACTACACCTTAATCAAGAGTTCCATGGGGCTTGTATCACCGACTGCTGTATGCTGGGAATATTTTCTCCCACCCAGTTGAATTTTCGCCCTTTGACAGTAAAATCAATTTAAGCCCAACATTGAATTCGCCCTTTAATTACTATGTTTTTTTATGTTGTTCACAGATGTTTGTTGTAATGGTGAATTCGCCGTCATTACGATGGCGAAAAAGGCGAAAATTAAACTGCAGTGAAAATTCCCCAGTCTACAATTTCTTATGCTTGATGACATGTAACGAGAAAAACAATGAAAATTGATAAGCAGTCTCTACATATGGTCTTACAATTTGTCCCTAACTACATCAGATCAGTCCTTACATATGGTCAAACAATCTGTTCCTATGGATCATTTCTTACATACCGCGGTATGTATGTTTTACAGGTCGCTATGATAGAGGTAGGAAAACTTACAGAACTTGAGGTTGAAGCTGTTGGGAGCCTTGGCCGCCCACAGTCGCATGGTGTTGACTGTGTTGTTACCGTAGCCTGGAATGGGACTGTCAAACGGCATCCCAAACACCACCTACAAATTACACAACATCACAGTTCACGAAAAAAAGGCAGGAACAAACGGAACAATACATTCTTATTGACTGGAATAGACAGTTTTCTACATGGTCAGTTCTATGTCAACACACAATTTACCAGAAATCAAACTACTTACTAACGCTGGGGGTATTGGGACATGATCGAATCCAGGTACCATTAAGTACGGTAACTAAGCTATGTTGACAATGGTTTAGCATTCTTTGTCAGGGCAGTAGTATTGTTTTGACAAAACATGCGCTATACCTCTAGCTAGATATTACACTACGACGTTACAACTGAAGGATGTCATTGACAACAACACTATCTTCTTGATCAACAGTTTTTCAAGAGATTGAGAAAAACAAGTTTAAAAGAAAATCTTAAAACTTTGAACGGCCTTTGGACTTTGTTCTGCAGTATTCATTTTTTGTTGAAATTTTATGAAATTGTCGTCAACTTTACTAAATACATTTATACCCTCTTCAGCATCAATGCTGGTAGAGCATTGCTACGAGATGATGTGCATGCTTGCCAACTCTCCCTATTTTGGACATCCTTAAATGACCCTAAATAGGACGTTCAACAAAATAAAACCAAACCAAACTCGCTATTTTGGATCCTAAAACTGAGCATTTTCAACCAGTGAATTTGCTAACCTATTCCTATTTTCTAACATCTGATGATTTCATCTGAAGGAACAGCTCAAAATATGCCATTTAAAAGTGTTATTTTTCTTTAGGGTGTACATACCGGTACATACATTTTATTTATGCTTTTAGTTTTGAGCATGCGCAATCTCTCCTAAGGAAGTTTTAAAAAGTTGGCAAGTATGAATCTTTCTTGATCCCTGGTGGTATAGGTACTATACATCCTGGAGAAACATTATACATCCATTGTTCCAACAGGAGAAGGTACTAGTGTATAAATATTTGCAGTATAATCTAGCCCTGTATGCAGTGGTATACTAACCGTTGTGTCCACCCACTGTTTGGCACCATTGCTCTCCACCACTCGCCCGTAGAAGTTGATCGGCAGGACATACTCCGGGCGGGACTTTTCCCACGGATTTCCGTAACGCAGCCACTCATCGGGTTCTTCTACCTACAAAGACAGACAAAAGTCTTTAAAGACACAAAGAACAACCCAACCAGAACTCTGTATGAGTCTTATCTAAATTATAGATGAAAAATCCATCAAGGGAGACAACTTGTAAACTGAAGGTCAAAGCAAGACACAAGATCAGAACAAAAACTTTGACTTAAAGATAAATTTCAAATATTAGTTAACGAATATTTCCAATTGGTGAAAATTCAGGATAGCATATTTCAAAAGGGTTAGCATTGATGCTATTCCACATCCTTTTTATGCAAAGGAGTTAATTTTCAAGCATCCTGTTCGTATTTTGCAGTAAATCTCCATTTAATCTGAAAAAAAATACAATTTGTAAATGAAGTGGAAAATAAGACAACATACAAGATAGTCTATGTCCCTAGTCACTATACATTATATCACAGAAAGTAGAGCCTTGATAATTGCCTTTTTTGAGATGAACGGCTTACTTTGGAAAATTCTGTCTAAAAAAGGCCAACCTCTCCCCTGAACACAGGATGTATAATAGGACAACCATATTAGTGGTGGCCAGATCAATAATGGCCGACAGTAAGATGCCACCTTACTGTCATATCTTGTCACAAACACTGACTACAAGCCACACAACAAACTGACATCACATTTTATCTAGGATCAATAAACAAGTAAGAACGTAATATGAAATCTTCATCATCAAAGGGCAAGGACGAAATAGTTCAGAAATACACATACTCAACGGGTAAAGAAGAAACACATTACAAGATATATCCAATCAATGAGAGCAAGGACAAAATGGCTATAAACTACACATAATGAATGAACAGTAATTACTCCATGCTAACTAATGTATTATCTGTACTTGTCTCTAAAAGTTTTTAAATTAAGTAAATATATCATTTTTTAAAGAAGTTAAGTTTGTTGGGGAATTTATCAATATAGTCTAGTTTTGCAAAAAATAAGGATAATAAATTAAACAAGAGGCCCATGGGCCTTAACAGTCACCTGGTATATTTATACAGAGAGTTGATTTTTGTCTTTAACATGAACAGAAATATTATTCAAAGTGACAAAAAACAATAAAACCACCTTATTCAATATCTAGCATGCAGATTTAAGGCTGAAAAGTATTTGAAACTAGTACCTCTGATTCTAAACAAGGAAAATGAAGAAATTTTATTTTAGCACACAGACTCCATTGGGCCCAACTCTACAGCCCTTGGGGGTAGGGATGGCTCAAAATTTACAAAGTATCAATCTGTCAACTTAGGGTTATAATTCCAATCAAGTTATCAACATGTAATATTCAAAGTATCATTTGCCATTATAAACCATAACAACTTTTGCCCCTCCCACTCCTTCCCCAGGGGGAAACGCGAGACCCCAGGGTCATGAAATTCACAATTTTGGTAAAGCACCTTAAGACCCTTCCATCTATAAAGAGTATTTGATTCTACCATATCTGGGTCTTGAGAAGAAGATTTTTGAAATTTCAGTAAATTCAACTCTTTTTGGCCCCACCCATCAGCCCCGGGGGGTCAGTCAGGGCTCATATGTGCATACCATCAACCTGCTACCCAATACTGATAATGCTAACCCAAATTGAATTACTTCCAATAGCAATTAAACAAATGTTGGTCCAAAATGTGATTTCCCTATATAAACTATAGTGAAGTTTACCCCCTCCCAAGGGGGAAACGTGAGACTCCAGGATCAAGAAATTTACAATTTAAGTAAAGCACCTTAAGACCCTTCTATCTATGAAGAGTATTTGATTCTACCATACCTGGATCTTGAGAAGAAGATTTTTGCAATTTTAGTCAATTTTACCCTTTTTGGCCCCGCTCCTCAGGCCCCTGGGGGCTGGGGACCATATAATTCACAATTTTAGTTGACCTTTGGCCATGGAAGGTTTCTGCAAAATTTCATTGAAATTGGTTTAGGGGTTTTGGAGAAGAAGTCGAAAAAGTAAATTGTTTAAGGACTCACGACTGACGATGGACGACGAAGGACAAAAGACAATCGCAATAGGTTACTTGAGACTTTGTCTCAGGTGACCTAATAATTATTGTCAAATCTGCTCTCAAGTTCACTTCCCTAAAGAGACCATCTCCACTTACAGACCACCTCTATTAAGATTGGACCTTTGGTGAAAAGACCACCTCTATTAAGATTGGACCTTTGCTGAAAGACCACCTCTATTAAGATTGGTCCTTTGCTGAAAGACTAACTCTATTAAGATTGACCTTCGGTGAAAGACCACCTCTACTAAGATTGGTCTTTTGCTGAAAGACCACCTCTATTAAGATTGGCCCTTTGCTGAAAGACTAACTCTATTAAGATTGACCTTCGGTGAAAGACCACCTCTACTAAGATTGGACCTTTGCTGATAGACCATCTCTATTAAGATTGGACCTCTGGTGAAAGACCACCTCTATAAAGATTGGACCTTTGGTGAAAGACCACCTCTATTAAGATTGACCTTTGCTGATCGACCACCTCAATTGAGATTGGACCTTTGCTGAAAGACCACCTCTATTAAGATTGGACCTTTGTTGAAAGACCACCTCTATTAAGATTGGACCTTTGGTGAAAGACCACCTCTATTAAGATTGGACCTTTGCTGAAAGACTAACTCTATTAAGATTGGACCTTCGGTGAAAGACCACCTCTACTAAGATTGGACCTTTGCTGAAAGACCACCTCTATTAAGATTGGACCTCTGGTGAAACACCACCTCTATAAAGATTGGACCTTTGGTGAAAGACCACCTCTATTAGGATTGGACCTTTGGGGAAAGATCAACTCTATTAAGATTGGACCTCTGGTGAAACACCACCTCTATTAAGATTGGACCTTTGGTGAGACCACCTCTATTAAGATTGACCTTTGCTAAAAGACCACCTCAATTAAGATTAGACCTTTGGTGAAAGACCACCTCTATTAAGATTGGACCTTTGCTGATAGACCACCTCTATTAAGAGATCACTTTTAAAATTTGATTGTAGTTACTTTCATTTTAACCAAACCTGTATTGAGATAACCTATAAACAAGAGTCACTTTCTGGACTAGCTTCCTAAAGGTGGTCTCTGTATACAGGTATGCCTGTATGGTATTGTATAGGACCTGTACACAGAATACTGAGTGTCCACCTGGCCATCAGTGGGAGATGTTTGTAAAGGGGATCATCCAATTCAATTAGACATGTGAAACAACTTTAAATATTTACTTAATTCATCAAATATGGGATCCATCAAATGTTTCACAAAATCCAATTTAATTTTTTAAGTGTATAATGTTATGTACCCTCCAAAAATGTCATTTACAATCTGGAAGACATTTTCGTTTCCATTTTGCCTCAATTAAATGTTTAAAACCCAGCCATCTCCTGTCAGCCGTGCTGTTCAAGGGCTTTGATCCATGGTAGGTACGGGTTAACAAACAACATCAGATATTGACATAAGGTTAAACAGAACTTGGTCATGATGCATAGTCACATATTTTAGGTGGGTATCAAGTGAAATTCTCGTGAACCTTGGTGTTTTTTCTCTCTTATACACTGTGTGGCTAAAACCCAATTAAGACCAAAGAGATCACATTTTGTGTTAAAATCTAAGTTGCTAATTATATTTGAAAAAATTAATCTTGCACACATCAAGCTGTTTGTCAAAATTACAAACAATAAGCCATAAAGAGACAGAAACAAACATGGATTCAGTCTCAAAATAAAAAGATGGCTGCTGGTGGCAATATTGATTTTCAATTTTGGTTCAAAATCCAACTTAATGATCGGAAATGATTTACTGAAGCAATAGTCACGCCAGAAAAAACAATTACTTTTAGATTTTGGCAGTGGTACAGGGATCCTTAAATGGGTAATTCATACTTAAGGTATGCGTAGAAAGTTTAATTAAATTCAAAAGTATTCTTTAAAGAGTTATCACTTGGAAACCATTTGTGTGGAGGACAATGTCACTGGGCTAATTAATTCCTATCACAGGCGAGAGAAAAAGTTGCTTTGCTATTCAAAATCCTGATATTTGATAAGTTCTGACAATAATATACGGATATACAGTTTTGTGATAATTTCTTCTGGTGAGTCACACCATAATATCATAGGGAATATGAGGTATGACAATTTTTTCCCCCAAGTTTACCCAAAATTCAAATGAATAAGTAAGTGCCTTGAAGACGGCTAGCCTGGTATATGTATAGATGACCTTTATCTGTAGTTATTTACAGATTTATATCTTAATTTTCAGCTGAATTCAGTGACATTTTCAACAGAAGACGTTGGAATAATATAGGGCGTGACATTGCAAGGTAAACGAAATATGATCAGCGTAGCACGAAACGTGTAATATCTCAATTACCAGGTAACTTAAAACCTCACTCGAGGTCAATGATGTGTGCAAAGTTAGTGGCAAGCGATTTAAGACCTGGATACGAGTATCCGGGTTACCCCTTACAAACTGGTACAGGACGCCTACAACCAGTTTATATTATTTGTTTATATCAAGTTGTTGTAAGAATTATGTCGACTCAAGTTGTTTTACAACTAACTCATGAATGTCAACAAACTTTAACTTTATAAGTAGAAAAAGGATGGAATTAATCCTGACAGTCCAATTATAGGAGATTCAGCCAGAACTAGAACTGTAAGAAAAAGGCTAAGCTAGCACAGTGCATCCTTTACTTCCCATGAAAAATGCCAAATTAAAGCTGACTGCTATATACAGTAAATGTCGTGATGGCGGCACTATGTACAGTAAGTTTCATCAAAGCATGTTAAAAATTTTATGGGCATTATTCTGGACATTATGTTAAAATAATTAGAATGAGCAAGACTTGGCTAGTATTTTAGAAAAGAGGCATAACTCATGTAAAATACCCAGATCCCAAAGTAAGAACAGGTGCTCAAAATCAGAGGGTAGCGAATACATATCAATGGTTCTACATCAGTAGCACTTGAAAACACTCTGTAAAATTGAAGGAAAATGATCAGAAAAGTGACATATGTAATAGGAGAAAAAGAAATGCATGGCCAGACCAGGATTCGAACCCAAGACTCTCCAAACTCTAGATGGATGCTCCATGACTTGAGCCGCCTGGTCCCAAACAATCAACCCAGTCAACTGTTCCGCTACATATAACTCTAACCAACATTTTGGAAATAAAAATATAAATCTTTAGTGCACAATCTATGAAGTGTCAAACATGTATACTTTTGTCCACACAGACTGATGGACAGACATCCTGATTCCAGTATACAATGTCTAAACGCAATACAGGTGAGGTAATAAACTTCAAGACATTCTTGAAATGACACAAAGAGGAAACAGAATTAACTTTCTGTATTCTTACCGAAGATTTTACCGTTTCCTGATCTCTACATACAGTCGATATTCCAAGATAACAAGAATGCTAAGACCAATTTCAGTTACCTGCCAGCCATTCTCAAATTTCTGTGTAAAGATGCCATAATCGTAACGAATACCATATCCGTAGGCAGCTAGACCAAGGGTTGCCATGGAATCCAGGAAGCAGGCAGCCAATCGTCCAAGGCCACCATTACCAAGGCCAGCATCCTCCTCAATTTCCTCTAACTCTTCAATGTCAAGGCCGAGCTAAATATAGAGCATGATACTCATGTCAAGGTCAGTCATAATAAAGAGTGGAAATTCAGTTAATAATCACAAACCCAAGATACAAATTATTCTTAAAAAACTTATCATTTGGATGAATTAAATCCAGATTAACCCTTTCATCACAGTAGACCATTATGGACTCATGCAGATCAATGCATGATTGAGTCGACTAAAGTTATATAGGGGTGAACAGGTTAAAGCAGAGAGTACAAATAATGTACAAGCATGAACATTGTCAGTCAAATCTTTAAGAAGGACGGTGGCCTTAACATAAGATTTTTCAAAGGATATCAATATTTTGTTTTTCACTTTATTTTCGAACAATTTTTTTTTAAGTTGGGCAAAATTGCAACTCACCAAATTAACTTATTTACCCCTGAAGACACAATTGAACTCTTCCATTTCAAAGGTTGGAATAGTTCATTATGAAATTTCAGGGGTGAATGAGTTAAACTGTAAGAGAGTACAAAGTTAATCATGGTCAGCGGTACCCACCTGGTACATAGCCTCGTCACAGGCGCTCTGGATGCCCAGGTTTACCATCGTGTTGGATAGAGTCCTCCCCATGTAGTACTCCAGGGACAGGTAGTACACACGCTGTAACAGACAGAAACAAAGGTTAAGGAGGCACACAGATCATACTGGGATTGTTACTAGCTGTAGAATGATACTTTAGTTTCTAAATATTAATTTCAACAACATTTAGGGGGACTTAATATCACAGTGTAATGTCATTTCTCACTGTATAAACTTCTTTTGCTGTGCAAATAACGGAGATGCAGAGTTTGAACTTCATGGTACACCCTTATACACACCAAGAAAAACACTGTAGGTCTATGGGAGCTGTGACAGTTATTGCAAAAGGTAAAAAAAAATCCCTGTTAAATTATTTTCTGCCTTTAACATTTCATGCATATTTTTCAAATTTCATATTATTAAAAAAAATGTCACCTGTAGGTCTGAAGAAATTTATATCTCATAGACCTACTGTATATGATGAGTACATTCTAAGTTTTCTAAGACTGCTTAGTGTGTGAGACGTAACTCATTTGAAGTTCCTGTCTACAATTTTGAATTTCAATTGTACCAGGTAAAATAAACACAATTATTTGCATCCTGTTCAAACAAGACGATGATACATGCAGGAGCATGTGAAATGTTGATGTGTGGGCATATTTAAATTAATAATCATTGACATCCCTCTCTGGGTTTTTGACATTTAGCATTGGCCAAGACTTTTGTATCAATTAATTATAGCACCAGAGAGTGCGTAAGGGTCTACAGACCTTTAAGAAATACTTGTATCAACAGGCAGAGACATAATGCTGAAAATGCCAGGAGAACCTGAGGGATCGTTAATTATCGAAAAAAAGAACCATTGATCTTATGTTACATGTTAAGAAACACCAGTACTCTGATTCATACTGCAAGTTAAGAAACACCAACAAAAAAATATGATTTAAGAAACATCATTCAACGATGACATTGCATGGTAAAATTCCACAAGAAGCTAGATGTACAAAAGACAATAAACCTTAATTCTGACTTTTCATTTTTACAAAGGGACTTAATTCTTTAATTTCATTACCTAGTAGTTAGGCCATTTGACCTAAAGTTTTCTTGTCTGGAGTATTTTAAATGAGTTGAACTCCTCGATGAGATGCTAAAAGTATTCTCAGGACTCATCCATTTAAAGTACATTGTAGCTAGCTAATAACTGTCGGTACTACTGTCCATATTTGAAACATCACAAGCATAACGAAACTTCAACCCCTTATCAAGATTATTCGTCCATGGTACTTAATTATCCATTTCGTTAATGTTCTTCACACATGAGATGAAGTAAAGAAGAAAGAGTGAGAAAAACTGTACAGTAATAATTGATACTTTTTTACTATCCTGGTAATAGTATTTATAAGAGGAATGATATTAACTTTACTAAATTACAAGTGTAGGTTTTCAGATATAAAAAAAAATGTACTTAAATTATCCTCAGGTGTCTTTTAATGATATAGCAATGCAAAAACAAAATTCCCCGCCCTGTAAACTTCTTAAACATGGAAGTTATTTATATATATTAAGCACTTCAGTGATAACAACATTTTATTCTAGACAATTACTGCATGTAAAGGACAGCAACAAAGACAACAGAAATCGTGAAAACGTCAGTTATAATTAACCATGATACACATGTTCTACAAAAACACTTTCCTGGTCACCGACTCCAATTTTAATATCAATATAACTCATGATTTACATAATACATAATTTGCAACACTTGAGTAAACTTATTCTAGTAGGAAGTTTGAATTTTGTTATAGTGTTTTGGGGCATAAATTAAACAGTTAAGCTTTCTGAAGTCGAAATGATGTTCATAGGGGGAAATAGGAGAAGAAAACAGGAGAAGAAAATGTCAAAGTCATGCAACCCACCCGCTTTAACTTTTTCAATGTTAGTGTGTGTGGGCGGGAGATGCAGGTGTGTGCTGAATGCACAAGATCAAATTTCGAGTATATATCCCTTAAACAGGTACAATAAAAATGGTTTAATCGTGGAGTCTGCCTACGCATTCAAAATAAAGGAAGACCAGGGGATCAAATCTATGTTGGCAAGTTGCCAAAAATAACCATCGAAGTTTTGTTTTTTTCTCCAGTTAATATGAGCAACAAATTTCCTCAAAACCATACCAAAGGGAACTTCCCTAAAATAGCTAGAAACACGATTCAGAAAACCATTCTCAAGCTTAGTACATGTACTTTGGTTTTTCAGTTTAATAAAAAAAACTCCTTTTATTTGTGTGTCATTCCACACCTAACAGACTAGCTAAATAGAATGCACAGGAAATTACATGTATTATACTTTTGTACAATATTCTGTTTCAATAAAAATAGACTTAAAATCATCAGAGGTGAAAAATACCCATATCACAACAACCACAAGGACCTCCTTTGTTACTAACTTATACAGTAGCATCGCCGATTCATGTACGAGATATTTAATGATATTTTCACACGAATCGGGCCGAACAGATGCAAGCATTAACTTTATATCTTTCATGTTTTTCTATTTTCTATTCATGGGTTTATAAAGATATAATTTGAACCTGTAGCTTAGTGTGCTTCCTGATATAGGATAGTTTTTAAATAAAAGAACAATTGTGATTTGGTGTGTTTGTTACGCAGGGGCAAGGCACAGACTAACTCTTACGTACCCCCTATATGCTTATATAGTGACTCTATATAAGGATACAGGGGGTAGGGGTTAGTCTGTGCCTTACCCCTGTGGTTTGTTATAAACAACTTAATGAATTTGCAGAAAAAGTGAAGATATTTAATTAAAATTTACTTTTGTCTTTTATACCCCAAAATAAATATAGACCCAGAAGAAGTTGGACTGTACGCAATGATCGGAGGGACTGTATGTTTGAATATGTGTTATCAATACTAGTACATTGTTGATTAAATCATTTCAAAGCATCCTGATGACGAAAGAGCTGAAACAATGTTACCGGCTCATAATAGATGCATTGTACTATAGCCAATGATCTGTGCAGGATAGACTAGATTTTGTGTTGATGTACTAGAAACACTTATCACCCATCCATGTATATCCGGTTTACACTGAACTGTCTGATCCAGGATGTCACAGAGCTGAGGCGTTTAACTGACAAAATTCAATTACTACAACCTGTGTCTGCCATAATGATATTATAACTGGACTAAAGTTACACGAAATTAGCAAAGTCATACCATATCTGTCTTAAAAAGTTTCCCAAAACTGAAATGAGGAGGGAAACATGATACATTTGACTGAAATTTCACAAGATAAATTATGGATGGTTTACATATCAGGAAAAGAAAAAAGATTTATTTCTGATGAAAACCCCCCCAGGGAATGTATTGATGCAAGTCCTACTGCTAAATAATGTGGTACACCATATGTGGTACACCATGTATAATGGGAAATGGCATCCTCGATACTCCAGGGGTTATGCTCACTAACGCTCTCTACTGCCCTAGAATATTTCATGACAAAATTGAAGGCTCAGTGTGTGCCACTTTGTGGACGAAACGAGAAAACTAGTTTGTCCTTTAATGAACAACAAATAAATCTGTCGGTTGCGTAATGGTAAAATTGACTGGCTTTGATGTCAGGTGTCTGTAATCTTCAAAGGACAGGGGGCCTGTTCGTTTACGCGGAACAACCGGGTTGTCCATTTTTAAATGCAACAATTTCGGGCATAAATCCTGGGGGACCAGCAAATGTTTATGCAGGCCTTGCAAGGCTTTGTCGAGGCTCGCCTGAAAGCAGCATTCTATAACTAGGTCCGACCTTATTTAATAAACAAACAAATGTGGTCCAACCGGTTCAATCGTTTAAATGAAAAAGGCCCAAGTATCAGTCTTGCTATTAGTCAGATTTTCATATCGTAGACCAATCAAAGTGTGCTGGTGGTTTGTACCACAGGGTTGTGTATGCGTCTAGTGTGGTTGGTGTCATAGGCTCTTTTACCACCGCTGGCTAGCCTGCTTAGCAGGTGAAACAAAAGCCGAGCGAGTAAGTCTTTTTGCCAGTACATAGCCTCTACACTATTCAAGACTTCTACAATGCCTCCTCGCGACAGCACATGGTAACTAGGGTTTAACAATCCTAGGCAAAATTGTAGAGGATCTCAGAGCAGCAAGGGCCCTAGAGATGTAGTGTGTAGGCCCACCGGCATGTGTACATGCCCTTGCACTCATCAACCTTGCCCCAGCTATGGGTAAATAGCACCAAAGCACCACTGCCTTGTGGTTAGATTTTGGATAATCAAAGGCTATAGGAGCAGACCCAGAAAGAAAAGCCAGGAAGATGGAGCTCGTCAGCCATGGTAGGCAATCGTCTATGGGAAGGAAAACCCAGATAGAAAAACTCGATCCTGCAGGTTGTAGGTTTCTCGCATGGTTAATCACCAGGCAGATTAAAAAATAGCTGATTACGGAAACCCTAGATACATTAAGAAATCAGCATGAGGATAACGACTCTGCTGTACGACATGGTATGAGGGACATGACGCTTATGGATGAAAGCCCACGGAAGTCCACAAGCCGACACCCTTATGTACACCAAAAGAAAATATATTTTTAGGAAGTTGGAACGTAAGAACTTTGTATGCTACAGGTAAAACAGCAGAAGTAGAAAGGGAAATGGACAGATACAATATCGATTTACTAGCCTTAAACGAAGTCAGATGGGTAGACAGCGGAAAGATCACACTTCAAAGCGGTAAAGCTCTAATATACTCAGGAAGGAATGATGGATTACATCAAGCAGGAGTAGGAATGATGTTGTCAAGCAAAAAAGGCATTGATTGAATGGAAACCAATATCAGAGAGATTAGTGTATGCCAGATTCCACACAACAACACTAAAGATTAGTATCATCACTATATATGCACCGACCAACGATGCTACAGACGAAACAAAAGAAATTTCCATAGAACAGCTAGATAGAGTTATAGCAGGAACACCCAAACATGACATCCTCTTAGTAATGGGAAACTTTAATGCAAAGGTCGGGATGGACAATGAAGGTCATGAGAACAGCATGGGAAGGCA